TGCCACCACCACAAATTATGAATACGTCCATATTGAGTCACATTATCTCATCTCTGAATCGTATGGCAGTAAATGTGAGATGGTAGTCAAAGACAAACTCTGGTGGGCTTATAATTGGATTTGTTCTCAAGTGAGTCATTTGGTGGACGTGCGTTTGTTGTTAAACATAGTGCCCACTCTGTGTGGACCCTACAACATATTTCTCTCGATTATTCACAATCATTTTTGTCATCAACTCCATTCATGCAGAACCACTTAAATTTGCACGTTCTTCTTTTTGTTATTAATTTCTATATTTTGTTTATTATATTATTTGTTAGTGGAATAAAATTCTAGAAAAAAAAAAAGCTAAAAGTTTGTCTCGAGTTTTATAAATGGCTAGACTTAGGCGAGTGGGTTCAAATAGAGTATTTTGCTGTAAATTTTGAGGCGACAGAAAAATTCAAAATTTACAAGATTATAGCTGTGTAGACATAAAATAAACCCATGTTTGGTAGATATTAAAATCAGATTTTAGTAGATTTTGATAACAGTTGATGAAATGTGTGGTTGAAAAGTTGTGAATCCCATAAAATGTGTGGTTAAAATTAATTGTTGACTTTAAATTAATTATTAATTTTAATAACATATTTCATGTGACTCATAACTTTAATAGCACATTCAATAAACTTTTATTCAAATTTATTATAAATCTGTTTTTTTTTTAATTTTAAAAATTATNATTCAATAAACTTTTATTCAAATTTATTATAAATCTGTTTTTTTTTTAATTTTAAAAATTATCTAAACCAAACAAGTACTGATACTATATTTTCACAAGCTTGACATTTTGAGCAATTTTTTAGTTATGCTTTTGTAAAAATTGCACAGTAGATCTTGTAACGCCCCAATCTATTCCATTTATTTTATTTTATAAAAATAGACTTGAGATGGTACCCAAAAAATCAACAGTCATCTTTATTTAATTTAAGCGGAAATTTAGCCCGTAAATTTAAGTTTAACATAGAATGTCAATTGCTCGGACTCAAAGAAAAACATTAGATAACGTGCATGAAATTTAACATAAGAATGTTTTTCACAAATAAATTGAAATTTTCATTACTGAAAACTTTTACTTAGCGACCCCATAAGCATCACTTGTTCAATCTTTCACGCGTCCACATGACCTGTTCCAATCTGAAAATTTTGTAATAGTGAGTATTTCTGAAAAACACTCAGTAAAAATACATGCATATTCTTATTAACATGATGTAAAATTTAAAATGGCATAACATACCAACTTTTCTTATATTTAGAATAAACTGGTCGCGATATCCAATAGCTAAAAAAAATTTTATTTGACCAAACGGTCTATCCCGAAGGATTTAACATAGAAATCGATCAGAATGCCTTTTAGTATTTCATGCTAAAATTTATATAAATATCAAGAAATAAGAATTTACCACTTGCACAAAGTATTCTTACCTTAGTTGATATCACAAATTCTCAAAATATTCCTTGAGAAAGTAAAAAAAATAAAATAAAATGGGCAGAATGTTTGTAAGAGGATGGAAACCAACTTGTGAAATTTTGATTGTGTTTGATGAAATAAATAATATTTCTTAAAAAAAAAAATGAAATCACTTTCTGCATGGTAAAGAGGAGAAAACAACTTCACACAAATATTATATATACGCACAAATCCACTTGCACGATACCAAATCTTAAGACGTGAATCAACTCCCAAACATACAGGAGTTAGAAAATTAAATTGATCATTTACTTCAATCAATAGGCAGGTAGGTGTGGAATTCAAAATAAAAAATTCATTATTAATTGCCTAAATTCATTACAATTCTCATTTCAAGTTCGAAGAAAAAGTATCTGACATGATTTTTTTCTTTATTAATTTATAATATTATTTTATGTTTTCTTTTTTCTCAAAATCCAAGAGGTGTGCCATTTCATTTGATATATATCTTCTATATATTAAAAGTGGTTATGTAACGGAATTTCTTGTTTTTAACGAAAAAACTAACGGAATTTGTTATTTTAACGGACTATGTAATGAAATTTCTTATTTTAAACAGGTAGTTGCACCTTCTTTCTATGTTATTATCATAACTTTGTATTCCGATATCATATTGAGGCGATCCAAAATGAGTTGGAAAGTTAACTCGTCTGGATACAACTTTAATTCAGATATCATTCTCCAATTCGATCAATTCCTATGCCAAAAATAGGTCTCAAT